CATCAGCATCTCTACCTGGAGACTTAAAGCAACAGAGAATTAGTTGCCATTTAGAAGCAAGATGCTCCTCGAAAAAAGCCTAGCTGTTCCACAGTCTTCCACCCTTAAGAAGAGTTCCTCCAAAATTAGAAAAAACACAGATGGCTTCAGGAGATGAATCTAAATCTAGAATCTCAGGTCACAATACATGATACTCTTACCATCAGCATCTCTACCTGGAGACTTAAAGCAACAGAGAATTAGTTGCCATTTAGAAGCAAGATGCTCCTCGAAAAAAGCCTAGCTGTTCCACAGTCTTCCACCCTTAAGAAGAGTTCATGTGGCAACACTACAATGTACTCTTGACAAGTTTCCATTAAACAATATAGAGCTGAAGTTTCAAGAACTGATATTAGTAGGATCAGGGAAAAGGCTGTAAGTCAATTAATATTTATCTGTTTTCCTATATTAAGCAAAGTTCAACTCTCTGAGCCATCTGTTGGACGTAGTAAAAGGTAGGATTGTCTGCAGTCTTGTTGAGACTGCATCACAGCCTAACTTGTCCCTCAGTCCAATCAGCTTCCTCCACTTCTTTTCCAGAGGTGTTGATCTCAAAATAATTCCTATATGCTAATCTATAGCTCCCAGTCTGGATACCTGAGAACCCAATCTCCAAACCCTCTTTAAGTACAGTAGGATCTAGGTGTTCAAATGATGCTGTCAGTAATCCGTCTCTATCTCTCAGCTTTGCATTAAATTCATTTTAAGAATTCTCTCCTTTGTGGTAGAAAGAGGATTTTAGGTCATTTTATCAAAAATATTTTTTCCAAAATCAGCTCCGTGACAATAAATTTGTTTAATAACAACTTCTTTGCTAAAATTTTGTAAACAATTGCTAGAAATAAAGTAAACTCATATACCATCTGAGGAATTAGTACAAGAAAGTTAAAAATTCCTGAAGGTATAATATGACATAAAAAATCATCTAAGAGGAATGAAAACTGAGTTTTCGCAATAAATAACTGAATATATGAACTTGGAAATAACTACTAAGAGATTTTACTTAAAATTATAAAATTATTCAAAGCAGGATTAGGGAAATTAGAATGACCAGAAACAATAACTATTATTGTAATGTATTACATAATTACTATGTCCTATGTGGCACATATGAAACAAAAATACAAAAATTTAGAGGATCAAAATGGAAATTGGCTAAAAATCCTAAAAATTGTATGTTTAAAGTATAAAACTAACTAGAAAGTAAGGGGGAAAATTACATTAAATATTAAATTTCTACTATTACTTTTTAGAAATAAACTAAGGTTTAAATGCCACATGGAAAATTGACAGAGGAATCTTAATGCTAAGATTTTGATGATGTAAAAGATAACATTAAAAAGATTCAAAGTAAACAGACATTGAAAACAATTCACATAAAATATTACTGGTTATTGATAAAATATCGTTTTCTAAATATGAAATATATATTTTAAGAAGAATAAATCACCCTATGATCCTTAGACCTGACCATCTATAACATTCTTTAAAATGTTTATACAAAAAAATAAAAACTGAGAATCTTAAAAAGCTTTTAAAAGCATTCCACCGAGTACAAATTGTGGTAATCTTGGTAGGTAGTTAAAAGAAATAAGACTTTGGTAAACTGATAAATTTGTCATACAGCTAATTATCATTCGGGAAATCTAATTTCAGAAAATTAGTTTTTGTAGAATTGATTTT